GGTGAGAAGAAAGGATGTGGGGGGAGTGTAGAGTGAAAAACTGAGAGAAATAGAGAGGGCAAGAACAGGAGGGGGTGAGGACAGATAGATATGAAAGAATCAATAGATGGCATAAAGTGTATGTTCATTGATTTACTTACAGGGGGAGAGTGATGGGGAGAGAAAGATGGAATGAGAGGGAGGGCGAGGGAGGATATAAAAAGCAGGGAGCACAGAGAAGCATGGGAGAGTCAGCCATAATAAAGAGGAAACAGCAAACAAGTCAGAGCAATACTATAAAGCGAGGGACAATGTGAGGTATAGAGACCTAATTAAAGCTGTGTTAATCAATATACTTATATTAGCTATGGGTCAAATGACTGTGTGCAATGTGAAGGGGGTCACTCATAGCAATGGAGCCACAGAGAATGTAGTTCCTCTCAGCTATGGATGTGTAAATTTGCTTGCTAACACATTAGCCATAACTGTTTTGTTGCCCCCACAAGGCCGAAAGCAAAATCAAATATTGCTCAGTTTATTATAGTTTAGTGGTTCCCTTCCATGAATTGGGGAGACTCACAAGAGACAGATTTTTAAAAAAAGAACGGCCAAAATGGTCAAGCACTACAGGAAACACTGGATCCTCCATTTCCCACAATGCAACTCAATGGCATCTTTCATTGCATCCTTCTTGCCTTCTTACTTCAAACCCCTTACCCAAAGTTTGCAATACATGTTGTCTGCTGACAATACTGTGTCTCAAGCCCAGTCTGAAATAATCCTGATGACATCATTTTCCCAAACATTGGAAAGATCCCTCCGGAGGTACAACAGATGTATATAACTGTTTTAACAGGCTGCGTAAACCTTGTGACATGTAAACTGAACTTTGTGTGTGTACGAAAGAAGCTGTATACAACATTCAGAGTATTAATAAAGTCTTACAGGAATCAGTCCGAAAACCCAGAAATGTGTTAGCGTTTTACCACTTATGGTTCCCTCTTTCAAAGTCAGTTGTTTGTGGTTAACACAATCTTAAGAGATTATCACATTTTGTTCTACTGCATAAAATACGTCAGTAAATAGGCCTACCCCACTCATAAACTTTGAAGCCTTTATGTATCTCTAGAAAGGCGGTCGCTAACAAGTGGATGAATGAGACTACAGAACACAACTTTATAGTCATAGTTTGGCTCAACATTCACATGGGAAGTAAACAGCCAGCTCCTGGGTGTAAATCAAAGGTTTGTTGGACCCATCCACCTCCCCTCATGCCCACCCTATAGGGACTTTCCAGCTCCTTATATTATGTTGTTCGGCCTGTCTACTGTTGCCGCTTCCTCTGCAAGCCAATTTGCAACCTGCCTCCACCTCAGCTCCTCCTTTTCATGCTGTGTCTGACTCATATCATTTCTGTTAGTCAATGATGCTGCTCTGTTCTGTTCCCGGGGTGTCTTCCTTGCTGCTCTCCCGACTTAGGCTTTCCGTCTAGGTGCATGGAAGGGCAGAGAGGTGTGCTTTCTCCGCCTTAGGCTTTCTGTGTAGACCTATGAAAAGCATAGAGGCCCCAGAATAGAGCCTTACTGTCAAATATAATACTGCAAATGGAGATAGAGTTGTTGTTGTTTTTTTTTTTTTTTGACTACAGTGGTCTTGATTGAACTTTGGTATGTGGGCACTGTGTCAGCAACTGCCGCTGTCCGGTGCATATCATACTGCCATGAAAGGTGCCTTTGTGTGTCGATACCTAAAACGCAGATCACAGACAAAGCAGCAATGAGTTCGGAATGAGAGTGGGCTGATGGTCCCCACCAGCACTGTTGTTAGCACTGTTTATGGAGTTAACACCATTAACTGCTAGCCAGCTAGGCCACCTCTATGTTGTGCAGACAACCTGAGTCAGACTGTGAATCATAGATATGCTCTGAATGTTGTATACAGCTCTATTCATTTTCTGTAAACTGTATTAGGTGTTGATTGACTTACTTGTATGCAGATGTATTCAGATGCTCTTGGTGATACCTCACAATCAGGCCCCTGAGTGAAAGTGAGCCAGACACTGAGAGACACACCACATACGTCAAGACTGACAGCAACAGGAAGAGAGAGACAGGTTGGAACAGAGCATACGGGTGAGACAGATAGACAGAAAGAGAATGAGTGTGTTTATGTGTGTGTGAGAGGGATGGGAGTGCGAGGGAGAGACAGAAGTGTACTCAAATAGCTCAGGGCAAGGTGACAGAGAGAAACGAACGGACAGAGAGGGATAACAAGCTCATAGAGGGGGGATTGTGTGTGTGCGTGTACGTGTGTGTTAGAGAATGAGAGAAAAAGGAAGAGACGCAGGGCGGAAGGGGAGAGGGATAGAGGAAGTTGAGGGAACAAAAACAAAAACAGGGAGAGAGTGCGTGTGTGTGCGGACAGCCGAAGGTGTCAGAGTGTGCTATTTGGCTTAATGATGACCCACTGGGCATGTAGGTCATAACGGTTTGTGTCTCGAAGCCATGACTGTATGCCTGTGTGCATCCATTAGTGTGTGAGCATGTGTGTGTATGTGTGTGTAAATAGAAACTCACTAGACACACGCATGTAAAGTGGGTCTCTTAGCGTACGTTTAAGAGTGTGTTTGGTCAGAGGTTGGAGAAGCAGTTTTTCTAGCTGGTAGGACTCAATAGATACTTACACACACACACACACACACACACACACACACACACACACTCATGTGCACCCACACATGCTGCAAATCCAGTTTTTGGCATTCACACTCACACACATCGACAGCTGCCCTTCATGTCATACATGCACATGTAATGCACCATGCATGGCACTGAATTATGCACAAATACACACACACATCTCTTTCTTTTGATCTGTCATGACAACACACATTCGCTCTCTTATACACACACACACACACACACACACACNACACACACACACACACACACGCACGCACACACACACACACACACACACACACACACACACAGGGGGAAGCTATTATGCTCTCAGGCTGGAGTGTTTTGATGGTATAATTGCAGTGACCAGTGAGGAGAAAGAGACAGAGGGAGGGATGGAAAGAGGGATGGGGATGGAGGGAGAGAAAAAGAGGAGAGTGCTGACACTCTCAGCATGCTAATGTTGCGAGGCTCTACCCCCCCCAGCCCCCTCTGATTTCATCCCTCCCTCCCTCCATCCATCTCTTTGTCTCTCCATCTTCCTCTCTATCTCACATCCTCTGCATTTCACAGGTGCAGCACTAGAAAGAGGGAGAGATGGACAGAAAGGTAGAGAGGTGGAGAGATGAGAGGGAAAGAGGGATATATAACAGGATGGAGCAATGTTATCTCTCGCTTCCTCTGCCATCATTCCATCCTCTTCAAGCTCCCCACAATGCTCTAAACAAAGCATGCAAAAAAAAGAGGTACGGGAGGATGAAAATAGAGGAAGAGGGAGGGTCAGTTTTTCCATCCCTTTAACAATGGAGGGATGATCTCTGCTTATCCTCTAATCACGTCCCTTCTTTTTTCCTCTCCTCCGTCCCTCTCTGTTATCTCTCGCTCCCCGCAACCCCTCTTTTGCTCATCTGGTTAGAAAAAGGGTAGCCTTTTTCCTCTTGCCGGCCTCCCTTTTTTGTCGCCTCTCCATCTGTTTGTCCTTCCAGTTCTCCCTCCATCCCTCTATCCTCTCCAGAGAAGGGATTGGGCTGTATGGTGCTGATCTCTTTCCTCTTTCTCTTCTCTTTTGCATCCCACTTCCTCCTCTTTTTTCTCTCAATCAATCCCTTCTCCTTTACTGTTTGGATAAAAATACTTAAACTTAAGCTTAAAAGGGATGTTGATCTAATTCTTTGCAATTTTATTTAAAAATGTGAAACTCTTACAATTCTGATGCATCTTTAACCAGGTACAGTACTGAGCATGGAAGAGAAGACAGAGAATTGGGGAGGTAAAGTAGCACAAGCGTAAATTGGCATACAAACAGACTGGTGAACGATTACCAGATGGCAGCAGCTCAGTTACAGAGACTATTGATATTATTTTTCTAAAGTAAGTTATGAATATGTACATCGCCTCTTTAACAGTCTACCTGACGGCACTGAAAGGGTGTACACACAGGTTATTTACCATGAGAAAAAAACTAATAATTAGTAGCAGTTGTTTCCATTTGATCATTGTAGCTGAAGACAGGAGAGTTCATCCACAGGGTAAGTTCTAGTTTCCTCAACGATCCTGCAGCTTATTTTAGTGAGTGCAAAGCTAAACTGCTGCTTTGCTGTCATAATTGCTACTCTGAGAAAAACAAATGCAAGATTTAGCAGATTTATAGCTGGAGAACACAGGGAATGAGGAGTTTCTGCACTAGTATAATTGATACGATCTAATAGCCAACAGCGCCCCTCAGAGGTACTGCTGCGCAACTGCAAACCTTTAAGAGAATTTAATGATTCTGTTGAGCAACCGCTGTGTACTTGACTACTGACAGACTGCTGTGTAATGATGACACCGTTTAAAGTACTGCTTAGCTCACTAGGTAGAGTGTATACCACTAAGGCTGAGTCCTTACTGCAGCTTGAGTCCGCTGTTCTAGTCTGGCCCAGGGCCCTTTGCTGCAGGTCCTCCCCTTTTTCTCTCCTTTAATATATCTCTGTCTCTCTCACTATCAATACAGCATGCCAAAAAATACCCTTGAAAGAAAAAAGCACCACTACATACTCAAATGCATCATCACAGTATACTGAAAGGGTATAAGGCTGCCTATACCAACTCAACGGACGTTTTTGCCACTTATAAACAGAAATGTACCTGCGGTTCCTAAAGAGCACCATTTGTCATCAGAGCAAATTTTATGCATTTATTGTTGATATAAGCTGAGTGATTTATTTTGACCATCTGGTTATGTAATCCAAAAGCTGCAGTTAGGAAGTCTTACCAAACAGTGTTGGTTGCAGCAAACTACCTGCTCCTTTTAAGCTTTAACAAAAAAAAAACACAGATATCATATTGACTTAAGTTAAAATCATATTTATTAACAAAACATTGTGCAAAATGCAAATTACTGATATACACACACATTACTGTATTTAACAAGGAAACATTGTAAAAAGAAGGTAAAAATCAAACGAGAAAGAGAGAGATGGATTATTTATCCATAAATGCATGATGTTTGCAGTTACTTTAGATTTAGTAAATCAGTTTTTTTTTTACTACACAAAGGCAGCTAAAGCAGCAGTCTGCAGTGTAGTGTGTACCTCAGGAGTGTGTGTTCATATATGTGTGTGGTGTGCTGGTAGTGCCTGAATGTATTTCTGAGTTCTGTGTTCTCACTATGTGTCAACATACTGTATGTAACTTTGCATTTGTGTAAGTATGCTTATGTGAACCTTTATCAAGAGTGTATGGTAGTGTGTGTGTGTGTGTGTGTGTGTGTGAAATGTATGTGTGTGCCTATGTATGTCACAACCCTGAGCTTGTTTGTCTTTGATCAGTCTTCATGTGTGAATAGTGTATTCAAAAATGTGCATGTGCTACTAAGGATCCTGTGTGTTTGTGTGTGTAGGTGTGAGAGTGTGTGTGGGCGAGGAGTGCTTGTCAACCAACATCTCAGTATGCTTCAGATACTGGGCCGTCCTCCTCATCACAGACTCCTTGCGTATCGGATCTGGGTCTCCTGAGAGGGCAGACAGACACATAAACAGGGAGATGATTACGTTACCTTATCTAACTATTTAAACAGCAGTGCTAAAAGAGAGCAGTCTACTGAGGATATTTGAGCTGCAAGAGATTACTGGCAGCGGTGGGATTCGAACCCACGCCCCCGAAGAGACTGGAGCCTTAATCCAGCGCCTTAGACCGCTCGGCCACGCTACCTCATGACTCTGCTTATATTACTATTGCATAACACATGTTGAAAGATGGGTCAATATTTCCAAGAATAGATCTGGACTGTGTAAAAGAAGAAAACACTGGGCACAAAATGACCCCAGATAACCTATTACAAGAATGTCACATGATAACACAGCAGCAGATAACACACATACTTGTGTTAGTCTGTGACGTTCACTTAAATCTCTGCTTGACTCAGTTAGCTGTAGACAGCACACTGGTATGGAGGATGAAATATAACTAAGTATCAATCGATCAATTTTTTTTTTTTTTTAAATACAAGAATAAATAAATAAATACTGAAATAATACAGATACAGAGACAAATACATAAAAGAATATGGAATATAAATAAAGGAATAAATCAAGAAATAAATGCAGAGGTTAGGACCATCTACCTCAAAATGCAAAGACAGAAATACAAAAATATATTTATGCAGTTGTACAAAAAGTTAGGAATAAATTTACTATATTTATTTATGTCTTTTTTAATTATCAACTTTTATTTATTTATTATTTAATACTTATTAATGCATTTATTTATATCTGTATTGATTTCGGTATTTCTTTTTCATTTATTTGTATTTTACATTCATTCCCATGTTTAATTATTATTTCCTATTTTTATTTATACATTTATTTATTCATTTATTGATACTTAAGTCATTTTTTGTCCTCCATACCCTAGACGTTGCACAGTTAATTTTATGTTTGATTAACACATAAAATAAGCTTCTTCTTTTTCTGACAACTGAGAAAGCAAGGTAAACTGGTTAAGCAGGCACTGCACCATGAGGCAATATCATTTTAAAGTGTTGTCCTTTACACAAAAGCAATTTGTAAAAAAAACAAAACAAAAACAAAAGCCCTTTCATTAGTATCAGTAATTCATAATATTATTTGTAACATTCATTTTCAGTGGCTCTGCCAGACAGTTTTGACTGCGTATCTCTAAAACCCTCTAACCCCTCACTGTGCACGATCAGGATGGTCAATTAGTGCTGATGTCAAATGGTAATCTCATCCTTTTCTTAGCTGAATAAATAAATAAATAAATAAATAAATAAAGACAACTGGAAACTGTCAAATTTATCCCCCGCCTCCTATGTGATCGATTGTTATGTGCACGTAAAATGGCTTATCACAGTAAAAACTTTTCAGGGATGTATGAAGCTTCTGAAGCAAGTTTCTGAAGCAGTTTGTTTGTAGAGGTCTTCAGGTTTACATAATTTTTTGCTTTTCTGTCTTCCACAGATACAATGGGAGTCAAACCCATACCCCATACTACACTGCAGCCTAAATCCAGCCTCTTAGGCCACTCAGCCACGCTGCAAAGTAAGAAGACAGAGTTCAATCTCACAGGAAAGAAAATGAGGATCAATATTGTTTACTAGGAGGAAAAAAATAAGCTGACTCCAGCACTCAAAACCTCTGTGTCTTTTCGAGAATATGATTAGATGAGAAATGAAGACGAATTTTGGATGAAAGGCAAAATATCTTCGAGTATCTCATGCACAGACAGTTGCCTTTGACTCTTAACACTTTTGGATATTAAATACTGCATAACTGACAGTCTTCAGACACAAATCAGATTTCTGATATGACTCAGATTAAATCCATTCCATACAGGTATGATCCAGCTATTCAGAGGGAACACCAGCTGAAAAGCTTATTGGCAGCGGTGGGATTCGAACCCACGCCCCCGAAGAGACTGGAGCCTTAATCCAGCGCCTTAGACCGCTCGGCCACGCTACCCATACACCACACTGCCATACACAACAGTGAAGAGGACTGAATAAGTCATCCATTAGTGATCTAGCAGAGTCATGGCAGAGCAACACACAGTTTACCCTTGCTAAAACAGGACAGTAAATACGAGGACAAAATAGCAGTGTTGATTTTACGATGAGGTCACATGCTGACATGGCACACACGCTCTGCTGTGCGGTGTCTGTTTACCTCTGTGCGTACGTGTGTGTCAGCTGTGTGTAATGCATCTGTCAGCTTGGTAGCGTGTGAGCAGCACATCAGAATATGTAGTGCAGAGTAAATGTGGTAAACAAGATATCATAGTTAAATGCACAATATCATTTGTGCTGATGTACTAGCTTATTTGCACATGGAGCATGGTCATGCAATTTGCAGTTTTTGCAAGTGAGTTGATGGTCTGTCACTATAGCAACAAAGCTGGCTCATGATTCATGCAGGAATGGGCATGATAGAGTGCATTCAGGTAAAATGCCATATTGAAATAGAACTCACATGCAAGATTGTGAATAACCCCAAAACTGAGAGTGCTTGCAGGTGCACACCACTGCACACTTTTTATTCATCACTAAGTTTACCATTTTCCTTTTCCTTAGCATGTGTGTGATTATTATTTTGGGAGCATTACCTGACTATCACTGATCTAAAGACTTTACCACATCCCTCCTCCTTCCATCCTCTCCCCTTTTCCACCATCCCATCTCCTTCGATCCCTTCATACATCTTCTCACCCTGCACTCCAGTGATCAGTATATCCACCGCCGTCCTGTATCTACGAATGGCAGAACCAAATTCTCCCTCCTTCTCCAACTCCATCGCAGCCGTTAGCTCAGTGCCAGCTTGGTTTAGGTAACCCGCATCCCCTCCATCCAGACTGGCAGGCGGCAGAGAGAACAACTCTGAGTGGTCGCTGGAGGAATTGGATTTATCTGGAACAACACAAACACCATGAAGTAGTCAACTTGGGGTCTGGGAGTTTTAAAGCTAGATTAATAATACATTTGGCGAGAAAATAATCAGGAGGTTAATTGATAATGACAATATCTGCTAGTTGTAGCCCTACTTAGACATGACATGATTTCTTGACAGCAGCATGATTCAAAAAGCACACTATAGCCAAATATTTTCCTATGTCAGGAGTGGGATTTGAACCCACACCCCTGAAGAAAATGATTCATATTGCAGCACCTTGGACCACTCAGCCACACTATCTCAAGAGGCACTGAGCTCACTATCTGACATCTCTTTAGCAAGAGCTGCTCAGCTTTGCTCTGCCAAGACTTGCTCTGAATCAGAGCGCAGCAGCTAACACACCAGCAAGTTCTAAGGGTTGTAATAATTATATTTATACCACGAGCTGCCATTCATTTGTTATGTATTTTTCTTACTACTTTAAACACTTACTTACAACATAATACAATTATCAACCAAACACCGTGAAAGCATATCAGTTCAGAGCAAATTCCATGTATTAACTTATTTCATAATGTCATAATGTGCAAGTGTTAGCTCAACATAACTTCACAATGCCACTCAGCCTGTACAGTACAGACCTATTTTCACAAAGTGGAAACACAGCAGTACAACGGAAGAGAAGCCTCAATATTATCAGTTTTACATTTGCATATCAGATTTAGACTCAGGTACGTTGGCAGGAGGGTCAGAAGTAAAAAGAATCTGCACAAGACGCAAACATTTTTGACAAAATCACCAAAAACAGGTTGTAATTAGATTAAGACAAATTTGTTATTGTTTCATGTGTATCCATTCACATTTATTGTCACCTTGTTTATAGCAGGGATCAAAGACAGCCAAGTCATTATCAGTCAGAGGAGGTGGACCATCCTCTTTCAGGGATGGGACTTGCTCTTCTGCCACAGAGTCAAACAGTGAATCAAATTCTTCCTGGGACTCTTGTGATTGGTAGTTTCTGGCTGGGCACGGGTCGAGAGATGGAACTGGAGGTGGAAACGTGGACCAAAAGGTAAAAACATGACTAATAATAAAATAAAAGTGCACACCAGTGTGAATTTTTGGAAGATTTTTTTTTTTGTCCCTGTCATACCTCTGTCATCCAGTTCTGTATCGCTAAGCTCCTCTTGTTCTTGTTCTTCTCTGGGAGAGCCTCCCATCTCGCTGTAAGCCTCAGCCGCCACCTCCGGTTCTCCCACCTCTAAGCCCAGGTTGGTTCCCAGGTCTTGGGGTAAAGCGGGAGCTTCCCTTCCCTCCTCTTCTTCGGCAGGTTCACAGTCTGAGTCCCTCCGCTTGGGGAGGGGGATGAGAGGGGGAGGAAGAGATGCTGCAGTGGACAGAGGGGTGGCCTCCAGAGGCCTTGTGACCTCACCACCCTGAGAAAGGGGAGAGGAGAATTTGGTAGATGTAGGGAGAGAAAGAGGTGTTGTGGGGTAGAAGGAGAGTAAGGAGAGCAAGGAGTCCAGTAATATTATTATTCCAGGTCTGGCATGTTTTCCTGTGTGCAGATGTGCATGGCTCTTTCATATCTGTCTCACTGTCTATATGTGTATATGCAAATGTGTCTTACTCTGAAGAAGTCCTTGAGCTGTGGGCTATTATAGAGAGCAGGTATGCTGGTGGCAAATAGAAGCATGGCCTCTGCAGCATTTCTCCTCTCTTCAATCACAGCCTCATCAAACCTTCCTGAAACAGAGACAGACAATATAATATGACAACGCTAGGAAAAAATGACAGAAACAAACAGCAGAAATGGAAACCCAGCTGGTCAACCTAACAGTGCTGGATTTTGGGGAGACTTTTAGATGTGTTTATTGAAATTGCTTGTCAATTTTCAGGCTGTAGCTTACAGTTTTGTTTAACATATATCCCATCAGCTCAACATTGTGATGGTTTAGAGCCACTGTTACTCTTTGCCAAAGTAGTTTGCCTTTGTGCATTCAAGCAATGCAGCATGGCAGCTTCAAAGTCAATCTAAGTGGTGACAGTCCATTGGCATATGACTCAGCTGTGCTGCTGCCTTTGCAATTCTGAATCTGTAACCACTGAAAAATAGTGCAACAGGCCGAGGGGAAGTGTCACAAGAGTGAAGAGAGATGCTAAAAACAGGCACACTGGAACAAGTAGATCGTCACCAGAAATGACTGAAAGACACTCAACAGGCTACTTGCATAGAACAGCTACAAACTAAAGCCTAAGCGTGTTGTATATATTTATATATTTGTGGATTTGCACCTTATTGTTATCTCAGATTTTTTATATTTGCACTCTTCTCACTTTGTATTGCTACTCCTGCACAGCAATTTTCTCTTGATATAAAAAGTTTTATCTTATCTTTTTTAAAAAAAGTTGAGGTGAATTACAACCTCTGATATTTTGAGGTATTTTTGTCTACCTTCTGCAGCACATCAAACAATGCAATTAATCCGTGATCGTAGCCCTTGGTGACTACGCTGTAACTGGGTGTATCTACAATGTATCAGACTCTTTGCCTATTATACCAAAGACTTGTGAGCGGGGAAAAGATGGAAACTCCTCCTGTCTTCTGAACAGTTTCCTGTGAGTGTAAGCCAGCTCCCCATGGAGCTTCTTCAGCTCTGAGAACCTCCTCCACACCACCACCTCCTTCACATCTTCTGGATGACGCTTGGACACAAACTACAAACCACAGAGACGAGAGGACAGATTGTGTCATCAAATACATGTTTAACATTAAATGTCAAGTCAGCTTTTAGCATCTTCGCACAAATCAGAGGACATTCTTACGAAATTATGGGTGACATCATGTTTTGAAAAAGATTTTCAGAATAGAGAAGTAAGGCAGCTACATCTAAGGGAGGGTGATGGAGGCTTACATCTATAAAGATATTATCCAGTTTGATTTTGTGTGCATGCCTGTGTAGACCACGGGTTATTAGTGTGGTCATGGGGGTGCTGGAGCTCATGAACTGAATCACAAGTTCGCTTTGCTTCACTTGAGTGCTCACTGTGCACCACTGCCTCAAATAACAGGGCCATTGTGTATTTATCAGTCTGGCTGAGCTAGCTGCAGAGCCTTTGTTTTTTATGAGTAAGACTGATGTGACTCCATTGTGTTATAATCGAATAACAACACAAAGTTACTTCTGATTGATGTAACTGAACAAAGAGCACAATAATACAACATACGAAACAATGCATGTGTTACGCACTTAAGAGAAACAAAACATGAAGGCAAACCATAAGTAAATGATGTTAGAGAGAAGAGAGATCACACACTGTATAAGAAAGAGAAAGAGAGTAAACCAACCCTCGCTGTCACTTTGTACTCGGTGTACCCCTTCTCGTGTGTGCGTGGGTCGCTAACGGAAAAAAAACGGTAGAATTCATCTTTGGGTTTTCGCGACATGTCAGTTAACGGTAACAACAGACAAACAGCGTGTTTCAGCGGCACAAAACAGAGCTGTCAAAGCTGTAGTAGCTCTGTTGTGATTCTCCTGTTCCTCCTCTTCGTTCACTTCCTGGTTGGTGACGTAGATTGCGTGATTACGTATGGTAGATGCGTCAAGGTCGATGCAACTTTATTATTATTTTATCACTCTTTCTTTCTTTCTTTCTTTCTTTCTTTTTCTTTCTTTCTTTCTTTCTTTCTTTCTTTCTTTCTTTCTCCTTCTCCTTCTCCTTCTTCTTCTTCTTCTTCTTCTTCTTCTGCAACAAAAACTGCAGGACGAATTCTCACCATAATTGACAGGTGGGTTGCAATTCCACTCACTCCTCAGCCACAAAAAGTAGTTATACATTTTCAAACATTCGTCTTAAGTTCAATTTTACATAAATACTTAGAAATCAAAAATGGCTTAATCAATTGTAACCAAACTTTGTGCACATGTGTGGATGTTTTGTCCAGGCTTTGCTAAAAAGTCTTGGGATACTCTGCCACTAGAGGGCGCCACAACTTTGTAAAGTTTCAGAAAGTGAAGTTCTCATAATCAGCTGCAAGGATTCGAGCAAAATTCAGTTTGTACCATCTAGGGTCATGACTCAGTAGAGGCATGGCTATATTACAATAAATCTAAATTTCATGACATTTCACATTCCAAGCTTCAACATTTATTTAGTTATTTATAATAACTGCAACCTATAGTCAGTTCAGACGCCCGTTACTTATATTTCTAAGAATATTCAAAATGAATCACCATCTATATCTCCACGTCTTCATTCAAATCTAACCAAAATTGAAAAAGACATTCTTTGGATATGATATATCATATGTTCCAAATAGTGTTAATGTTAATGTGTTAGTGTAATGGTGAGTCCACAGATATATTTCATATCTTGATGTAATTTGTACTGTATGCACAGTATTTTCTGTTTCATCTCATTTTTAACCAAATGTCACCAAATTATTTGACAAAACACCTGAAACCAGCAGAATGATGTGATATTTTTATTTATTTATTTTCAGAATTTTATCACCAACACTTTGGCTGTTGTAAGTGTTTTAAACCGAAAAACACATACACAAAAAAATCCCAGTTTGCACATGATCATCGGCTCAAGTAGTCATAAGATAAGCAGGAAACTGTGTCTTCCTGGTGGCACAGTGAGTAGGTCGTTTGCTTGGGTATACAGAGTTTCAAGGTTTGATTCTCCAGGTTGACAAGTGTTACACTTCCTTAATGTCTTCCACCATATGTTTTTGACAATACTCTGGAAACCAGCAGGTGATGCGTGACTATTTTCAGGATTGTATCCCTAACAGTTACAAGTTATGTGACCTCCGTCTCTCTCTCTGCCTTCTGCTGCTGAGGCTGGTTTCGCTTCCTGGCCTTGGAGCTGGTTGAAGTCGTCATCAGTAAACTAGTAGCATCTGGGTAGATCTATTTCTGTTTCTGCCCATCTGCTGTGAACTCTTGTGGTTTAAAAGTTTACATGCCCTATCCTCTGCTACTTTATTCATTTCCAAACAAAAATTCTCAAAATCCCGTGACAAATCTCAAATATCCAATATATTCAACTCAAGTAAAAAGAACCTAATTCAATTCATAATTCTCCATGTCAAAACCTACTATGACATGCAAGAATCAGTTCAGTTCAATTAAAATATTTCTGTTTATTGTTAATCTCATTCTAATTAGTAGCAGTGATAAGCTATTTGTATATTTTTAATATAGTTTTTTCTTTGCTGTCTGATGTTGAGATTATATCTAGGAGCACCATTTTATAGCCTAATTAGCCTTATTCTAATAATCATAATGGCAAAGCACTAATTAAATTAGGTTTCAGGTTATGTTCTGTCTTTTCCCGACTGGAATATATCACCAACTCGAATATCTTTACGTAGCATGAGGCTTGTGCTCTGTGCGTTTTTACAGTTTAAATGCTATTGAAATCCTTTGTGAACAATGGAATTATATTTTGTTCTTTCATATAAAGCTATGATATGGATTAATCAAGACAAAATATCAGGCCTTGACATACTGCATTTAAATTATGAGTGTGTACATTAATGTTGTAATCAGCTAACCTCTTCTAAATATCTAAAAAAAAAAAAAAAGGAAAGAAAGAGATTCAATTCAAAGTGATTAAAATTAAAATGCCACGTGGAATAGAAAGTCTATGTGTAAGTACAATGTTTACTTGTATGTAAAACATGCATTACCCCTTGAATTTACCTAAGAAATAATTCACATAGGAACAGTGATTTATTGAAATTGAAGTCAAAATCATAAAAATATGCAAATTGTATTACATTATGTGTAATCATAAAACTGCCGATTACACGACATTTTTTTTAAACCTCTGCAAGGATCATCAGAATGCAGCAGGTGGCGCTAAAAGTTCATGTAATTTACATGGTGACGTTGACGAGTGGAAAAGGGACTTTACATTAAATGAAAATGTCTGTAACATATTTTTAAATGACTTTTGTTTGATGATAGCTTCTCGATATAACCAATGCAAATCTGCATTCACATTGTCTGTGTCTCAGTGTCAAAGATGCTAAAATAAGAACAGCACATAAAGGTTGAGGCCTTACCCTGTTTGAGACAATACAACAAAGAGAGCAACAACAGACATTACTGTAATGCTGAGGAAGTTCCAGCTGTGCATTCATATTGTGCAACAATACATTCCACCTCTTTCCCAAGCTCTTATCTATTTCCCAGCTCTTATCTTTTATGCGGCCATTTTGAGATCAGAGAACCTTGCTCTATTTATTTTACCGTATTCACAGACTCACGAGAGCACTGAAATGACCCCAAGATCAATATGTTCCTCATATCAGAGTTCTATACCTGTTACGGTCCGGCTCTAAGACCATCACAAATAAGGAAACACATGGGGAGTTACATAAAAATAAGTAATTTATTTTAACAAAAAATTCAAGAATAAACAATATAAACAAGTATTATAATGCAAACTAAACTATACAAAAACTCAAGTAAATGCAATCAAAACATAATCAAAACCCTCTCAAGGCCTTGAACAGGAGGCAGCCTGAGTGTGAGTTGATACCTAACAGGCTGTAGCTCAAAGGTCGCAGGTGCTGCTGTCCTCTCTGGTAATTGCTTGTTAAATTGAAGGGAAAATGTGCGGCACACAGAAATGAGGTCACTGTTTAATCTGAGATAACCTGTTGAGCTGGGTCGGCTTTACTGACAGAAAACTAACAAGTTCAGTGACAGATAGAAGTCAAACCTGTTGTGTTCAGGCTACAGTTTTATATGGTATGGTTTCCATTTTCTGCTACTTTGTACGTCTACTCCACTACAGTTCAAGGGGGAATATTGTTCTCCATGCTTCACATTTATTTAATAACTTCAGCACTTTGCAGATTTAGTTTAGTAATACAAAATATAATGGGTGTAAAGGGGCAAGCTACCCGACTGTGTATAAAGTAATTAAAATGAGCTCCACCTTTACCAGCTTCAACATTAGAGATGGACACAATGCATCAATGATTATACTACAGTAATATAATATTCAGTATGCTGAAATGGACCATAATGTGCGTATCCACATAATGGGTACGTTGTATATTTGGACGCCAATGCACTTGTACTTTTACTTGCAGGACTTTTTTGTGTCTCAGAGTATTCTTACCATGTATTATCAGTCGCTCAAGTACCTGAATTCGTCTCTCAGCATTAGTACTTGACGTCTTTCTATTTGTTCTCACACAGAGGTATATAGATGGACGGCTTCCTGCGCACACATTGGTGATTGAGTGTAGTTACCGAATTCATTCAGCTCAGACGTATGTACAAGAATGATGGGATGATCTGTGCAAAATAGCAGAGGATGGTTTCGATCCATCGACCTCTGGGTTATGGGCCCAGCACGCTTCCGCTGCGCCACTCTGCTTCACATTGGGGGAGGGGAAAGAAAGACTACTTCATCTGTGAATTGTGAACTGTTTGGCATTCTCCTCACAGAAACGTGCACTCTTACATAATGTGCAGCCATTGTTTCCTGCTGCTAGGGGGAAAGAAAGGGCCTGAGAGGAGGGTACAAGGTTTATAGGGTGAAAAACAAATGTAACATTAAGAGCGGGCCAATAAAGGATGGGGAGGAGAGAGTGCGTGAATGAGAAAGAGATGTATGTCGACTGGTAGAGAGGGAGATGTGAAATGTAGAGACACTGGACTGAGAGGAGAAAAATATGGTAAAACGTCAATGAGATTCTTTAATTTGTCTCTGAAAGAATGTTATTTGTACGGTTTATCTTAGCATGCTTCAACACAAGATCACTTATTTTAATTTAAACTCTTATTGTCTATATATATCATACAAGCAGGATGTGTCCCGAGTCATTATGTTCCTTTTTATATGCTAGTTCTGTACTCTGTGTGTTTTATTCTTTACATATTTCCGATGTATTCATGTGGTGACTGCACTGTGATGAACTAATTAGTGTTTGCTGTGTCCATATTAGCTCTCCATTCATGCCGGGAGAGCGTTACAGAGGGAGGCTTTCCGCACCAAACAGTCTCCCCTTTGTCTGTGAGAGAAAACTAGGCCACACATTGGGAACAAAGAAAGAATAGGAGGAAATATATTACAGACTGAAAGACAAATGAAAGAGAAGAGAGACTGGAGGAAAATACACCTACAATGATTTTAGAGCATAAAGCATTAACATTACACAATATGACAAAGTCCCTATGAAGTACAACCAACATGACTGAATGTGTGTGTGTAGCATAAACTAATAAAATGTTTTGCTTACAGTTTTCTCTGTAAATTGTTCACCAACTATCAGTGCAACATAGTGCTCTATGGGTTCATCTTGAACTGTACGGACTGCATACTGCGCTGAGCCTGAGACAATGAGATAAAAGCACAAGACCTCAGCAGCCAAACTGGTTTAAACTGGTCCAGGTCTGCTCCGCTGTGGCTTTTTTTTTTTCAAGCTCATGCTGTCTTGCAAAATAAACTCTCTCAGAGGGATCAGACAAGGATTTATAGTGAGGCCCTGTGTGTGTATTTGTGTGTGAGTGTTCCTCCAGACTATA